ATCGACTCGCCTTACGCTCCCGGCGGGCGCGCCGCCGCCGCTGCCGGCGGACACCCCGCCGCCGCCTCGGCCCGCGTCGGGAGCGGGGGCGCCGTCGGCCGCGGCGGCGGCGCCGCGAGCGGGCTCCGCGTCTCGGCGTCCCGGGCTAGGCGCCAAATTACGCACGGCGTCTTCCGCGCGCCTGGGGGAAACCGCGGCCGCGCGCTCGGCCGGCGATCGGCGCGCTGGCGGGGCTGGCCTACGTCTACATGGTCGCCGCGCTCGTGCCGCGTGGGGCGGCTTCACGTTCGTCGCGAACATCGCCGGGCTCCACGCGTTCGTGCCAGAGAGACACAGAGTGCGTTAGGAATGTGTGAGAGGACCAGTAGAGCCGGTAGAGGCTCGGTAAGGCCGATGGTGAAGGCAGGGTAGGGTGCTCCTGTGTGTGTGGTGTCTTGTGCTCCCCCGCAGCGCGCAGGGTGAGCCAGGGCGTGGCGAACACGCGTGATGAAAGTGGTGGAAGAGCGAGACGGGTCAGTGCGGAATCTGGACCCGGCCCGTCGCGGAGTCGGCGGCCGCGTAGAGAGGAGCTCGTCGGTAGCGTCGGCGGCGTAGACGGTCTCGGTGTCGCCGTGGAGGCGGGCTTGAACGCCGGACCCGGGGTGCGCCGGGGGCGTGGTGCCGCTCGCGTCGGCGAGCGGGCTTGGTGCGTGCGGCGACGCAGTGGCGGGATAGTGCGCTGAGGTAGCGGGCCCTGGGGCCGTCGGGATGTACCGTGATTGCGGAGCTGCAATGGATCGAAGTTGCAGTCGCTCCCGTGGTCTTCTCGTGTGTACGAGGCTGTGTTCGCGCGCGTCGACGAGCGCGCGTAGATGGCGCCGTAGGGCGCGGCGGGCGACTCCCCCGGAGTGGAGGGGGAAGCCGTGGTCGGCGACGGCGCCGTGTCGCGCGTCGTGTGGCTGATTCGATAGTCGTGTTGTAGCGCCGTGTCGTGAAGGGCGCGGTTGTTCGCGCCGATCGGGACGCTCGCCGGCGCGAGCCGGAGAGGCGCCTGGGAGACTCCCCCGGAAGGGGGGGGGCGAGCGGACGGCGCGGTTGAAGGCGGGCCGCCGGCCTCGCGCTGCGACGTGACGTTGATGTCGATTGTCGTTTTCGAGCTCGCTCGCTCGTTTGGCGCCGGTAGCGGCGCCGGGTCTGCGCGACGC